TTTGCAAATCTCCTTAGTGGCTTTATAGAACATAACTAGATTCTCCTATCTACTTCTGCTCAACCTGTTAAAAGTATATAAAGAAAGTTCAGCCTCACACAGATACGTAGTTGGGAAGGGGAGGAGTATTTTAATAGCCTTTTCAAGTAACTGTCAATATTCTTCTCTGATATTATACCAAAAATTGACAACGTGGAATTTGAAACTTAATTAATGGAACTTTTCGCACTCTGTTACATTAAAATCCATTTGCCTATCTTGCATTTTAAATGGATCTTTTATCCATTAATAATTTTGTAACATGATGCAGTGGTCATTTGAAAATTTTGGATCACTAAGTTATGTAGCAATTTCAAAAGCTGACACATTTCATTTTATTATATCAAAAAATCACATTGATTAATATCACCATCAATCTTATTAGAAAAGTTCTTCGGTGTAGGAAGCTGTCAAGCTCACAGTGATTGATGCGTGTTTTACAAAATTCTAATTTTTACTTGAGAGCTCACATTTTATCACTGGCAATGAATATTGTCAGTTGTCTTTCTTGAAGTGATGGATTATGTTCATTTTTAAGAAAATGGCAGCCAAATAGTCTGAATAGCCATAATTTTTCAGTAATTCTTTCAAGTAAAAATTGTCTTCCATGAAAAAAATGACTAGGTCAGCTAGTAATTTAATCACTTAAGTGGTTTTCCTTGAGACCAGTATCTTTGTGCAGTATGCAGAATAAATGCTTTATGCATACTTCCCACCTCACCACACAGAATATTAAAATGACATGTACTCAAAGGTCAACATTTAATAAAATTAACAATTTTTACTGTTTCATCAAGAGTATTTTTAAGTGAAACTGGCACATTCTTTTTTCTATTTTTTTTTTTTTTTGAGACAGAGTCTTACTCTGTTGCCAGGGCTAGAGTGCCATGGCGTCAGCCTAGCTCACAGCAACCTCAAACTCCTGGGCTCAAGCGATCCTTCTGCCTCAGCCTCCCGAGTAGCTGGGACTACAGGCATGAGCCACCATGCCCGGCTAATTTTTTCTATGTATTTTTAGTTGTCCGATTAATTTCTTTCTAATTTTAGTAAAGACGGGGCCTCGCTCTTGCTCAGGCTGGTTTCAAACTCCTGAGCTCAAACAATCCGCCCGCCTCGGCCTCCCAGAGAGCTAGGATTACAGGCGTGAGCCACCGCACCCGGCCTACTCATTTTAAATAAGAGAGTCAGGCTGGATGATTTCTAAGGATCACTTTAGTTCTAATATTCCATGACTACAATCAATCCACTTCTAGCATTGTCTTTTCTGCAATACCTTATATACAGTAGTATATATATAGTATATATATACACATACATAACTATCGATGTTTTATGTATAAAATATATATTATGTTTTAGTCATTAATGATGTTTCTTTCTAAGTGTCACGTTATGTTCTGAGTCCTTTATATGTATTTTTTTTTTTTTTTTTGAGACAGAGTCTCACTCTGTGGCCCGGGCTAGAGTGTCATGGTGTCAGCCTAGCTCACAGCAACCTCACACTCCTGGGCTCAAGCAATACTACTACCTCAGCCTCCCGAGTAGCTGGGACTACAGGCATGCACCACCATGCTGGCTAATTTTTTCTGTTTATATATTTTTAGCTGTCCAGATAATTTCTTTCTATTTTTAGTAGATACGGGGGTCTCACTCTTGCTCAGGCTGGTCTCGAACTCCTGACCTTGAGCGATCCACCCGCGTCGGCCTCCCAGAGTGCTAGGATTACAGGTGTGAACCACTGTGCCTGGCCTATATGTATTGACATACTTCATCCTCACAGCTCTACTTCAATCCCTACCACACAGATGAGGAAACAGAGGCACAGACAACTTAAGTACTTTTCTCACAGTTGTGCAGGCATAGAAAAGAGTAAACAAAATGGTCCATTTTAGTAAATCTGACTGAATGTCGTCTATAAAAGCCCTAAATAAAGGGAAACAAGTATCTTCCTATAAACACTTTACTACTTAAGAAACTTTGTAGGGTTTTCAATAGATTCAAAAAGAACCAATTGACAGATCCAATTTCAATTACATTAAGGGACTCTACCTGCTGGGAAAGAATGGTTACAGCTTCTTTATGCTTTGTGTCCCTTAGGTTAACTCCATTGACTGCTAAAATAGCATCTCCAACGTGCAGCCCTCCACATCTATCAGCAGGTTGCCCTGGATGGATCTCAGAGATGAGGATTGGGACACCATGTTCTTTCCCACCCTGACAACAACAAAAGGCAGTACTTTAGTTTACTCTTTGTAAAGTACAGTCACAGATGATTCTAGAGATAAAATATTTTCTAACAAACATCTTTCGATAAGCACCTATACTATCTCTATAAATGCTGGGTGAAATTTTATTTGCTGCTTAGGTAATGATAAATAAATTATTATGATTATCAAAGGGTAAATTGGCTAAATTCTTCAATACAAATAAACATACATATTAGTACTGCACAGAACCATTATATTTTATCAAATCTAAATCACTGTGAATGTAAGATCAATCATTTTATGTACCACAAAAATAACTATAAGATTATAAGATGAATTTCAACTTCAGAGAAGTTAAAATATGGGAAAAAATGCAATGCAGAATTGAAGAAATACAGAATTTGGTACCTATCACCCTCTACCTTGTATCATGGGGTATGTGTGTGTGTGTATGTGTATGTGTATCTTATTTCTCCTGCCAAAACTTATGCTCTTTCAGGGCAGTACATTAAAAAAGGTAGGTATTCAATAAATATGGATGAGATGAACTTTTTTATTATAAGAAACATTTCTACATTAAGCAATACCGGAAATCAAATAAACTTACACAGTGCCTAAGTATTACCAAATGAAAATTAAAATAAAGCCAACCTTATTCAGTAAAACACTGAGACTACAACAAAATGACTCCAAATATATGTACTTTATAATAGATTGCTCTCAGGAATGTTGTCCAAAACAATCATTTTTAAAGGTATCAAATTAAAAAATATATATATAATATTTGGACCCAAAAGCCAGTGAAATCTGACAGCTAAGAAATGAGATAAGAGAAGGAAAACACACACTCTAGAGAGAACAACAATATAATCTAGAGCCATTTACCATAGAAGAAAACAGCCATATCTATTCCCAAAGGCTCCCAGAGACATCACAATATATGGTATAGAACTATGAAATGAGTCATAATTGTTAATGAAAATGTTAAGCTATGTTTACTAAAGGTACACTAACAGTAGTTAGGAAGATTAAAAAAAAAAAAAGGTTACACAAAGTATTGTTGTCCATGGGAATAAATTTAGTTATTACAAAAAAAATATCCAGAATACTCTGTTCCCCAATGATGTCCAACAAAGGAGCATGATTATACTAGAAACTGCAGAAAAGGAGACTGGAAACACTACTTCTTACTGTAATTGAAATGCCAAGGCCTTCATGATCTTCCTTAAGGAGGAGAACTTTCCTAATTGGACCAACCCCTTGGCTTTTCTTTAAGGAGTCTTGATCCTTATTGGGGGAAAAAAGAAGAAAAATTAGTATGACTTAAATAGCATACCAAATAGAGTATACACATGCTATATAACTTGCTTTTAGAAATCTTTATTAATTTCCTGGAAAGGATACACAATATAGTGTTAAGAAAGTAATTAACAGATAAAATGGAAAAATGAAAAGTTATTCTGTTAACTTGGTGAAATTTATAGATGATTTTCTTACCCCTTTGCCAATAATTTTTTTAATATTGATACATCTCTTTTTAAATTGTAGGAATTACCAAAGAAACTACTGCCAGGAATTAACTGATGAACAAATATCTTGAAGAAATAAAAGTGGATAACTATCTTCACTGGAAAATATCTTAAAGATTTATATGCATTTTAACTGAGTTGAAGAGGTGAAAACCAAAATTCCAATTGGACCATTAATTATTTTTTCATTCCTTAGTGTCCTGGAGTCTACCTCTTAAATCAAGGACCTTATTCCTTTAATAATTCTTTCTCTGGTACCTTTACTCTCTCTCTACTAAACTCCTTTCCTATTCAGTGGATAAACAAATTCCAAGCCTCTTCCAGCTTTAAAATACTATGTTGCAAACAAAACAAGCAAAAAACCCTTCAAATCCTTCACTATCTTCTTTAGCAACTATGCTCTCCTCCCCTTTCCTCATCTGCCACACAAAGTTCATCCTCACCATATCTACTTTCTTGCCACCCACACCCAGTTCTCTGATCCCTATAACAAGGGTTTTGCCCCTAGCTGTATAAATAGAATTCTCTCCTCTGTGGTCACTGGTAACCAATATTGCTACATCCAATTAACACTTTTTAGTCATTATCCTACTTGAAAGTTAATACTATTTACTACCCCCTTCTTGAAACCCACTCTTACCCTTGGTTTCTATTACACTACTTTCCTAGGTGGCCTGTATCTGACAGCTCCATTCGGGCTTCTTCCTTTGGTGATCGTTTTTTTCTTCCCTCACTCCCCAAGTTTCTATCCTTGGCCCCTCATTCCTTTTTACTTTATATATTCTTTCTCTGGGTGACTTAATCAATTCCATGGTTTCAATTATAATAGATGGATGATTTCCCTAGTATTTTTTCAACTCAGTATTCTCTTGAATTCCAGAGTCACATATCCAACTAGATGTATCTAGAATGTTCTATTGGTACCTCATACACTACATGTCTAAATCTGATCTCATCATCTTTTGCCCCAAACCTTCCTTTTCCTCTATTTCCTTTACAAATGAATGCCAGATCTCACTAGCTCAAATCAAAAACCTAGATTCTTCCTTTCCACCTATTTAACCCAAAGCAGTCAGTCACCAAAGGTCCTCCTGCTTCTATTCTCTCAAACCTGTCATTCTTCTCAAATGCCACTTCCCTTTATCACTTTCTCCTTGTATTACCACAGTATCTTTCTGACATATCTCCTTGACTCTAATTTGGCCCTCTTCCAATATATTCTCTTCACTATGCCAAAGTAACTGTCAAAAAATGTAATCTTATTAAGTCTGCTATTTTATTTAAAAGTCCCATGACCACCATGTTAAAGTTAAAGCTCCTTTATTTAGTATAAAATAACGTTTGTCATCCAGCCATTACATAAAACTCCAGCCTCATGTTTCACTACTTTCACAAGCATGCTTTTATCATGTAGACACACCCGACACAAACTACTTTGTCTTCTTCCTAACCTCTCCATTTCCCAAATCTACTGGACCTAGAAGTTAATGGAATCACCAGTGTCTTAGAGAAGATAATAGCATAAGTGCTTATTGCAACCCCCACTCCTCTTCCACCAACTCTATACATGTATCAGTTCTCACAGCGATCTTTGCAGAGGCAACAAATTGTTTTACTATTTAAGGCCATACCTTACCTGGTACTAACACATGTGATCCACTGGGTAAGAGACATGCTTTCATATATTAAGGTCTGTATTATCAAGCAGCTGTTGTAATAAAATTTAATGAAGATTTATCCAGATAGAAAAGAAAGCTCCAATACAATGGTGGTTATAGAAGTAGACAACTGGACACAGATCTCAAATTCCATCTTAATCCAAGACCAAGCAGGTGTATGTGTTAGTTCAGAATCTACATTTGGATTTAGTTACCAAAAATTCCCTTAAATAACTACACCAAACTATTAATATTTGCCAAATTATCAATATAACCATACACTGTCATTTAGTTACCAAAAGTTCCCTTAAAAAACTACCCCAAACTATTTGCCAAATTATCAGTATGATTATACACTGTCAGTTAAGCTTAAAAAAAATTTAAGCAAGCCCAATCATGATTCAGGAAAATTGTGAAATATGATCTAAAGTACTAGCAATACGTATTTGGTAGGAATGCTTCATTGTCTGCAGAAATACCATTCTCAGGGCATTAGTTAATCTGTGCAGAGCTACCAAAATTTCTGTGAAACTTTAAAAATATGTATCTATTTTGAATAAGTTGAATCTCATTTTCTCTTTTTAAGTAAAGGTTTCAAATACCACTAGAATAAAAGAAAGAATGGAAAAAACTTGTGATTAAAGAAAGGAGAAGGAAGTTGAGTAAGAAGCAGCGACAAAGCAAACATACATGGCCTGGTGGTGCTTGCATTGGTCGTTTCAAGTCATTGCGTCCTCTACAGGCTCTGATCACAGTTTTATGACGATGCAAATGTATTTCAGCTTCTAACTGGTTCCAAAGCTTATCATGAGCAGGTCCCTTCATATCTCGTCCTAGTAACTGTATTTGTTGGACCCTTCATATTGAGAAAAGAGTTCAGTAAGTTGGTTTTTCATTATGCTTACTATAGAGAGAATTTAGCAGAATTACTGAACATAAGTAGCTTTTGCATAAATCTCAAATTAATCATAAAAGTAACACTCAGGAACTTCCTGATGTCTCTCGTATTTAAACAGATATGGGATCACAGGGGGAGGCAAGATGGCTGACGAGAGACAGTGGTTGCCAAATCGTCTCAGAAAGAGGAAAAGTTTTAGTTGGAAAAAAACAGAGCTCAGGTGTAATTCTAAGAGAAATGTGCTAAAACTTACTGGAGATTCCACGGGAAGAAGTTGTGGAGCAGAACAAGGAGCAAGATTTCCCTAGAAATCAACCCCTGAGAGGCTTGCAACCTGGCGGAAAGGCTGCCGCTGATGTCTCGGAGGCTCCAGGCTGTGGGGTGGACTAGTGCCCAGCAATACACAGTGGAGCTGTGTGAGGCACCCATGCAGGCCTGAGATACTGCTGAGATTCCAGTGCTGCACCTGTACCCCAAGACCCTACCCCTGAGCCTCCACCAATGCCACAGGGCTGGTGGAACTGCTCCAAGGCCCAGCGCCCCACCAGGGACACCCCAGCCTCCAGCCGCCAATACACTGGGACCTGGTTAGAGCAAATGCCCACAGCCCAGGAACCCACGACCACTGCCTAGATAGCCTCACCCAGCTGCCACTCTCACCTCTATGGGAGACCCTGGGCAGAGCAATCCCCTAACCTACCATTCGATCCAGCAATCCCACACTGGGTATTTACCCAGGGGAAGTCATTTTATCAAAACACACCTGCACTCGAATGTTTACTGCAGCACAATTCACAATTGCTAAGATGTAGAATCAACCCAAGTGCCCATCAATTCATGAGTAGATTAACAAAATGTGGTATGTGTATACCATGGAGTACTACTCAGCCATAAAAAAGGATGAATTAATGCCTTTTCCAGCAATTTAGAAGGCATCGGAGACCACTATCTTAAGTGAAGTATCTCAAGAATAGAGAAACAAACACCACATGTATTTCCTAATAAACCGGAACTAACCGATGGGTACAAGTGTACAAAGGGAAGTAAAAATCATTGGATATCACACGAGAGAGTGGGGAGAGGGGAGGGTCAAAAATCCACCTAACAGGTACAATGAATACTATTTGGGTGATGGGCACCTTTATACCTGTGACTCAAGCCATGTAACAAAAACATTTGTAACTCCCTTAATATGTTGGAATAACATATAAATAAAGAAATAGATAAGAAAACTCTGAAAAGACAGGTAGGTATATTCAAGGGAAAACCAGTTTTAAAAAATTTCAAAAAAAGGAATAAGAACTCCTTTAGTCATATACTTATTCAAATACATCTAAAAAACAACTTTTGAGTTAATATAAAGTAATGTGTGTTATTTGTCTTGATATAATCCAAGTAACTAATCAAACTCAGATACTATTAAATATTAGCTTTTGATAAGATTAAAGGTATGAAAACATGTCTTTTAATGACAGTTTCTTTTTACAAAATGATTATTTTATTTCATTTTATTTATTTATTTATTTTTGAGACAGAGTCTCGCTCTGTCGCCCCAGGTAGATCACAGCTCACTGCAACTTCAAACTCCTGGGCTTAAGTAATCCTTCTGCCTCAGCCTCCTCAATAGCTGGGACTACAGCCGCATGCCACCATGCCTGGCTAATTTTTCTATTTTTTGTAGAGACAGGGTCTTGTTCTTGCTCAGGCTGGTCTTGAACTCCTGGCCTCAAGCAATCCTCCTGCCTCGGCCCCCCAAAGTGGTAGGATTACGGGTGTGAGCCACCGTGCCCAGCCTGCTTATTTTAAATGTAGAAAAAAGTTATTAGAAAATTTGAACTTCAAGATGATACAATTTTTTCTTTGTTCCACGTAAGTTCTTAATGTGACATTAAAAGAATAAGCATAAAATGATTTAGTACTAATAACAAATCACCAAAGTTTGTTAATAATTTACTTAACAAAATCAAGGCAAGGAGAACTGTGTATTATTCTGATAAAATCACTGTCATTAACTTGATTTCAACATTTTTTTTGAGGGACAAGAAAGATTGGATTTCAGTGATTCAAAATTTCAGAAAAAATCCTTATGGAAGTTCTGCTATACCTGTGAACATCATCTGTTATGGTATCAGGGCCAGAAAAAGCTGAAAAGTGCTGCTCTATAGAGTTGTTAGCATTTCACAGTAAGCTATTGTCAGTATTTGTGTTTTGTGTGTGTGGTGTAAACTATACTTATTCATTATGGGTAAATAAATCTGCAATATATAATGCTGTCAATATTAATTTAACAATAGCAAGCTATAACTACTGTGAAATAATTCCGAGAATAAAGATTAATGTTTCATTTACCACAAGAGGTTAAGAGTCAACCTCATTACCTATCCAATTTGTCACCTAAAAGTACAAGCATAACCATTTTTTACGTACCTTCCTGCCAGTTCCTTATCCAAGTACTTGGCAGCCAGTCTTGCCCCATACACTTCAGCCTGGAGAACAGCTATATGTCTACGAAGGGCTTCATTCTCTTTTCTCAACAATTTCACTTCAGCTTCAAGTTGAGCTTCTTTCATTTTTTCTTTTTTGTTTGCTTCAAGCTCTCTTTCCTATTGTAATTTTTTAAAAAACATAATTTAATGAAAATACTTTTAAGACTCTTTAGCAGTAGATCACGTTCCTTCAAATACACAAAAACACATGGACTAGAATACCCACAATGAAAGCATATAATAAAAATTGCCACTTCATTTCTATAAAATGGAATACAAAGGTTTGGATCTAGTTCTTTTTTGCTAATTCTATACTATCTTGAAACCACTTCTGGATAACTGCATGGTGTGGGGCACTCTAATATCAAGGATAAGTAAGAGAAGTAGTCTTTTCTAAGCTCATGTTATCACGTATTAATAGGAGTGGCTTCAATGGATAGTTGAATCAGCTATTTACTTTATAAAAATGACTTAAGAAACTGGACTAATATAAAAATAATCATTCTGGTGGTTGTTCCCAAATAATTAATGCAACAATTCTATAAAGCAAGTTGAAATCATTCACTTATACTGAGATATATTTTATAGTTAATTTATCTTGGAGGCCTACAAGAAACTTACAGTACTTAAATGAAAAGAAGCATTTTAATTTTTTAAAAAACATTTTATAGTCATGGAGAACTGCTGGTAACAACTCCATTAAAACATTTACACATTAAAAATTTTCTATAGATAAGTATATCTATGGTGTAGATTATCACTAAAATTTGGGATCTAGCTAATCTATTTGTCTGTATGTTAAAATGGATGTGGAACTGTTTTCTGAGGAAAACACTAGCCATCCATTTTTAGTTCTCATAAAAGAATGCCATCCTATGCTCTATTTGATAGAGAGTCCATATATGTGAATCTAAAGGTGTCAGCTAGAGACTATGATCTCAAGATCCTCACCATCAAATTTTTATCACATGTTGATATGTGACAAATAATATTCAATTTACCTTAAAAGTATAAAGTACAGTCTGTTCCTATAGATCGAGCATTACAAATGTAAATCCCTTCAGGATCCAAGCACACAATAGATAGGCAGGAATGAGACACAGTTGAGTACAAAATGAAAGGTACAAAATCCTGCCCAAAGGCAGGCAAATTCAAAATCAGATAAACATACAAACTGTGTGGCCAAATAAAATCCTTCTGAGAGTTGAATAAGGGACCCATTAGCTATTTTAAGTGTTATTTCTGGATAAAGGAAACCATTCAAACACTGCAACTTGCATTTATCCTGAGCAGAACTGCTTTTACTGACTTACTGATTTAAAGAATCCACAAATTCTATGAAAATATGGTTATAGTTGTTCACGAGACGTAGAAGAAATTACACACACTATACCACCATGTCCCCTTTATGAGGACTTAAATAAAAATCTACCTTAGCACCAGGAAAAATAGTTTCTCTTGAGAAAATGGAAAATGGCATTGTTTCTATCATATGGGCACTGATCAAGTAATTATTTTCCTTTTTATTCTGGATACTGAGAAGCTAAGAAACAAATTTTAGCAGACTTTTAGCAATTCATGGAATATATATTTTGTACTAATTTAACTGCTTTGGTCTACTGTTACCGAATATGTATATATACACACACGTATACAAACACACACAAGCTAAAACTAATGACAACCACTAAATGCTACATATATTTATTATTCATCTGATTAAAAATATTTGTTATATATGTGACAAACAGAAGTAAGATTAGCAGGCCTTTTCAACTTCTGTAAAAAAATATAATCATTAGAACAGAATTTCTAGATATTGTTTTTAAAGGATTTAAAAAACGAATAATCTAGAATCCTCCCTTTACAAAAATTTTGGAATTATTAAAATCTTGATTTATTTCATAATATATTTCCTTAAAGGGCAGATATCAATTCCAAAAAGAAACCACAGTTTGAATAAACACAAACAAAAATTTTTTTGAGACAGAGTCTCACTCTGTTGCCTGGATAGAGTGTAGTGGTGTGATTGTAACTCACAGCAACCTCAAACTCCTGGGCTCAGGCTGATCCTTCTGCCTCAGCCTCTCAAGTAGTTGGGACTACAGGCCTGCACCACCGTGCCCGGCTAAGTTTTTCTATTTTTAGTAGAGACAGGGTCTCACTCTTGCTCAGGCTGTGGTCTCAAACTGCTGACCTCAACAATCCTCCTGCGTTGGCCTCTCAGAGTGCTAGGATTACAGGCATGAGCTACCATGCCCAGCCACAAAAATGTTTTTTAATGACATTTATTGAGGTTGATACAGTTTCTGGAAAAGTGTTCCTGGAAGACCAAGATTTCTTTGGTATATGGGCTAAATAAACTTTATGTTGAAAATTACTTAAAGTAATTTTCAATTACTTTAATGAGCTATTTATACTATATTAATGAAATCCGAGAAACATATTAAGCTACTACTTAGAGATGTTTTAATGATTCAAACCCCTAAAGAATCTGACAAACTCTCAGGTCTGAAATGAACAGATGTACATAATAACAGAATTAAGAAAACTGAAGTTAATCATCTCTAGATTTAAGGAAAAAAAATGTTTTGTTTCTTAGTTAATCTGTTTGTTATTAGGTAACAACCAAGAGGTTCATTTTTTATTTAGATACCCGAAGAGTATATTTTCAAAAGAAGTAAAGTCATAAGACAGCTCCAAACCTGATTAGGTTGGAGTAGTAGGAAAAATATTTAGAATTTTTATATTGTTATTTTCTAAAATAACTTCTGGTAAAGCATTTCAAAATCAGGTTGTTTCAAAGGCCACACAATTATTCTTAAGACTGCTGAAAAGTTGAAGCACATGTTGTGGATGAAGAAGAAATCAACATGCAAATTCTTTCTCTGGGAATAATTTCAAATAGATACTTAAGCGGTTAAAATTAGGCCTGCTTAAAATATCTCTGATACTCTTAAGTGGGAAAACCAATTGCTCCTTTGAAGTAGTTGTTTAAGAAAGGTACAAGGCTCAGAAGTTGTCAAAAATTGATAGGCTCTGCAAATAATGGCTAGAAATCACAAACAAAAGAAAAATGTTTAATAACATGCAGTGAGAAAGGAGTAATGGGCCAGCCACTGATCTTTTCAGATATTTGAGCATTAAAAAATTGCCATCATTAACCCCATTTTCAAATACAAAGAGTGACAACATTTAATATGCAAATAAAACACTAAGAACACTTCAGCGTGACATATTAAAGCAAAACAGAAACAACATACTTACCAGCTCCTCCACAGAGGGGACAGACTTCAGATATAAGAAAAAAGTTTTATAATTAGAAAAATATCAAATAAATGAATTTATATAGTGGTATAATTATTACAAGGAAAATTCTCACATGTCGAATATCATTTGGGTAAAGTTCACTAGAACATTAGAACAAATATATTTGTAAACCTATAAACAATAGTAACTGTATAGTATTAAATTAAAAATTTTTATCAAAATTAGTCAACACAAGTGGTTCTTTTTACTATAGTGCCCTGTTTCAAATCTAATGTAAAAATTTCAGGTAAATTCTTGTCTAGTGAAAATGTAGACTGCTTCTTGATGTTAATACCAAATAGCTCAAGGAAGCAGTTATGATCTGATTTTTGTTTCAGTTAAATAAAACACTACTAATTTAGATTCATAGACTTTCAGAACTTAAGAGGACTTTAGAAAAACATAAATATTTATTTAAGTAAATTCTAACATTATCAGTATTAGAAACAAATTAACCAAATAAAATTAAATGAAAGCAAGTAAAACTTAAAAATGCATAACTCTCATCACATCATCTACATCATTTCATGTCCTGCCTCTGCCAAGCTGCATTTATCTTATTTATTGTTGTGTCCCTACATAGTTAACAAAATGTCTGGCACATAGTACACACTCAAAACATATGAAGTTAAATTAAAATGAGACTTTAAAAAAATTTTTTTCTATTGCCAACAACCTGTATTGATTAAGAGGGTAAGAGTTAATCAATGGTAAACTCATACAAAACAATATGCAGACATTTACAAAGTGTACAGTAGTATGAAAAACGTTTATTAAGCACAAAAGAAAAAATGTGCTACTGTTTGGCACCCAATTCCATTTGCTACTTCTGCCTGATTAACAGAACTCCAATTTTACTGGAGGTGGCCATACTAAGACCATACTAAGACCAACTAAGAGACTGACATGCAGCTAGGGACAACCAAAGAGATGGTGGCAGAAAGTAATGATGAGGATTTCATAAAAAGTCCTTTCAAGAAGGCTAACATAGCTGAGAAGCACCTTTTTGCTCTTCTCTAAGATTTGTCCTTCTTCCTGCCTGGAATGTAGACATAAAATCCTGAGGATAAAAATCAAGAGCTAAAAATGGTAGAGAATAATGCTAGAAGGAACCTGAATCCCTGATACCTGTGGAGCTGCCGCAGCAGCTCTGGACAGCCCGTCTCAGGATTCTTTCAAGAGAAAAATAACTGCTATTCAAGAATAACCCCAATGTTACTTGGGATTCTGTTATATGCAGCTGAATTTAAACATAACTGATATAGTAGGGCAAAAAATTATTAATATGTTATAATCACAAATGTCTTTTAAATACATCTATTCATATTTTTAAATAGGAGAAAATTCTATTCTGTCAGTTGGTTATTGATATTATTACTGATTAGGTGATCAGATCATGGATGATCATAATCATAAACTTTGTATTTCTTGTATTTTCTCAATTTCCCACAATGAGCACATATTACATTTTATAATTAAAAAACCTTATTAAAAATTGTTCTCCACATCCTCTAAAATATATGTAAGTACCATGTCAACCTCTAAACTACTTACCAATTTTGCCTTAATGGTACCAGAGTCAACACTTTGACCAGTTTTAGCATGAAGTTGAAGCTGAATAGAGTGCAACTGTAAAAGCTGATCATGTACTTCTTTCTCCAGTACAACTTTCTCTGCTTGGGTCTCTGTCAGTTCAGATTTCAGATCCACCAACTGTGCCTTAAAAAACGACGATAAAAGACATTAATTTTCTTTATTTTGACTCTAATAATTACTACTCCAGAATGATAACACAGAGACTATCTTTTTTTTCTGGAGACAGAGTCTTGCTCTGCCGCCCAGGCTAGAGTGCCGTGGCATGATCATAGCTCACTGTAATCTCAAACTCCTAGTCTCCAGTGATCTTCCTGCCTCAGTTTGTGGCTGAGACTACAAGTGCATGCCACCACACGGCCTAATTTTTTCTATTTTTAGTAGAGACGGGGTCTTGCTCTTGTTCAGGATGGTAGAGGCTGTCTTTGAAATGGATACGTGAACACTAGAAGAATATTATCTGAGGTATGACATCTATCTAAACTGACATAAAATCAATAGTATAAGTGAGATATTAATATTTCAGTGGCAAGAGAGCTCCACTATAAACAATATCTTCTAATAATACAGAATGCAGCCGAGCGCACTGGCTCACTCCTGTAATCCTAGCACTCTGTGAGGCTCAGACGGGAGGATTGCTTGAGCTCAGGATTCAAGACCAGCCTGAGCCAAGAGGGAGACTCCATCTTTACTAAAAATAGAAAAACTAGCTGGGCATGGTGCTGTGCACCTATAGTCCCAGCTACTTGGGAGGCTGAGGCAAGAGGATCACTTAGGCCCAGGAGTTTGAGGTTGCAGTGAGCTATGATGACGTCACTGCACTCTACTCAGGGCGACAGAGCAAAACTCCGTCCCCAAAAATAAAGAATGCTACTTCCATTTTACTTTGTTTACTTTAAGAAGTTTTTTCACTGTTTCACCTTTATCTTCAAAGCTTATGAAAATACACAAGTATGGAATGGCCTGCTATGATGGACCACTAACATTAATAGTATATTAGAGGAAAGGCCAATAAATGAGTAGTCTGTTTTCAACCCAGAGGATACTAGCCTAAATCAGCATCATCACTACCTAGTAAAGCTATTTTTAAGTACTAAGGTATCCTTGTAAGACCACAGTAAGCCTAAAGATCAGAGTTGACTGTAAGTTTTCAGTTACGGTGTAGCAGAACAACTCATCAAGACCACTTAGCCATTTAGTTTGAAGTTTCTTACTTTTGCACAACTGATGTATTGTGCATAGGGTGTGTCTGTCCCTTGTGTTTTTGGTTTTCCCAACTACCCAGCAGATTGAAGAGGAAGACAATGCCTTTGTTTCCTATTCAACTCAACATAATTTTACCAGGCATCTAAGGGTCTTAGAACTATGCCAGCACAATGAGAAAGAAAAAAAAAAAAAACAAAAAAAACCCCCAAAACTGTAGATAATACTTTAAAAGTTACAGATCATAATTTAGGTATGCCTTTGACAAGCCTTCATACCAACTAAAGTGATAAATATGCATGTGAACCAACAAAAGAAATGTGGCAAGTTATAGATCCACATAGAATTGGCCTAGTCCTGAGGAATTCAAAGGAAAGGAAGGCTTAAAGAAGGTAAGTGAGGAAAAGAGTCGTAATGAAAGTAAGCTTAGAAGGGATTTGAAGGAAAAGGAAAACACGTACAAAATAGAAGCAGTAACAGAATCTAGGATGGGAAGACTAGTATGGTATTCATTAAATAAATATACCACATTCAAAGAGTAATAGAGAGATTAGACACATCTTTGGTAAATTCTATTATAGATAGGGATAAGAGGATTAGAATATATCTCTATGACCCAATTGCACCAATCAGTGCCTAGTACATAAAAGATGCTCAATAAATATCTGTTGAGTTGAAATGAATTCTAATACTAGCCCTGTCACTCTGGATAAAACATTCTGTCTCCATTCAAGTTTCCTCAATTTTAAAATAGAGGTAATATCCATGGCTTTAATTATTCTCATAAGATTATTAACCTTACATATAAAAGCACTTATTAGAATATGAAAATGTTATTACCAGGGAGATTAGATTACCTAGAGGGATTATATACTGACAGACTGGATAAAAACTGGATAGGATAGGTAAGGCTGGATATAATGAATGGCTTTGGACAATAGACCAAAACTGATATTTAATAAGATATCACTATATGCTTTCAATGACATTTTTGTTTTTATTTTTATAACACCTCTATTGAAATATAATTCAATACCATAAAACTTAGTGTATAATTTAATGGTTTTAATATATTCATAGAGTTATGCAACCATAGTCACTATATAATTTTGAAGAACTTTCTTTCAATAGCATTTTAGTAACATATATGCAGGTAAAGAGGTGAAGACAAGGATACTATGGCAACACCCTATTTGTAGCTTTCTAAACGACATGTTATCATGGTAGCTTTGTAAATGGGAATAAAGGATTTTACAATGCTGAAAAGAAATTGTTAGCAACAACTAGTTACAGTGTGGTCCAGGGCATGGTTCGGCGGAAGATTACGTCAACAATAATTTTGAGAACAGTGAAGCCATTCTTGGAAGACTAGGATCAGTAAGATTAGGATGATAGTTTATATAGCTATGAGGGAAGAAAGGAAGATGAATTTAAACTTTAGACATGTTGATTTTTGTGTCAACCATGATATAAGCAACAGGAACTATTCCACCGAATATTGGACATAAAGAAACAAGTGACAACTTGGAACTTGGGATGGGATCAGGAGCACAGAGTGTCAAGGACTGGGGCTTGGGTAATAACCCGTCAGGATGGCTTGAGGGTAGAAGAAAAGTAGCAGCATGCTATAAATGAAACCAAAATGTAGCATAATATGAACACTGTGCTGCCTCTTGCTTTTTTTCACTTCCTGGAGATCACTCCCTATCAATAGAGCTTCCTCATTCCTTTTTTATAACTATTTTATTCATGTATAAACTTAGAGAAGTACACAAATTGCAGGAAAAAAATATCCACTTAACTACCTACCACTCAGATTAAAAAAAAAAACAAGTAGGGTAGTACTAGCTCTCCTTGTGACCTCTCCCAATCACTATCCCCACCTTCATCCACAAAAGTAACCACGAAAATAATACACTGACTTCTAACAGCATAAATAGTTTTGCCTGTTTGAATGTTACATGAATGGAATCATATAGCACACATTCATTAATTATGTCTGGCTTTTGCTTCAAGAGTATGTTGATGAGATTCATTCATGTTGTTCTGTGATGCTGTACTTCATTCATTTTCACTGCTGTATAGTATTCCTTAAATATACCACAATCTACTACTTTTCATTCATTCTACTTTCATTCAACTTCATTTTACTTGTCATTCAATTTCCTTCTATTTTTTCATGGGCATTTGTGTTGTTCTGAGTTTTTAACTATTAAAATGATATTGCTATGAACCTATCTTTTGATACATACTGAATACATTTCTCTTGAGTATATATCTAGAAGGGAAATTTCTGGGTTACAGAGTATGTATACCTCAAACCTCAGCAGAAAAAGTCAAAAAGTTTTCCAAGTGATTGTAGCAACTGATATGCCCACCATGAATAAGAACTCTGATAGCTTCACATCCTTGCCTTCACTTGGCACTGTCAGTCTTTTAAATGTTAGCCATCCTGGTAAGGATGTAGTGGCATTTCATTGTATTTTTTTTTTTTTTTTTTTTGAGACAGAGTCTCGCTGTGTTGCCCAGGCTAGAGTCCTGTGGCGTCATCCTAGCTCACAGCAACCTCAAACTCCTGGGCTCAAGTGATCCTTCTGCCTCAGTCTCCTGAGTAGCTGGGACTACAGGCATGCACCCCCATGCCCAGCTAATTTTTTCTATATATTTTTAGTTGTCTGATTAATTTCTATTTTCAGTAGAGACAGAGTCTCGCTCTTGTTCAGGCTGGTTACGAACTCATTGTAGTTTTAATTAAACCTTCCTCATTGCTAATAAGGTTGACCACCTTTTCATATATTTACAGCCCTTCTGAATAATCTCTTTTGTGAAGTGCATGTTAAAATCTCTTGCCTATTTTTCTGCAGGGTTGTCCATAACTTTCTTATTCGTTTGTAAGAGTTCTGTCTACACACACATATACACACACACAAAGTATGAACTCCTTTATTGGGTATAAGGTACAAATACCTTCTCCCATTCTGTGGCTTCTTTTCAATTTATTAAAGGTGTCTTTTCATGAACAGAGTGCTTAATTTTAATGTAGCTCAATATTTTAACATTTCCTCCCCCTATTAAATGCTTTTTTTGGCCTGAATTCTATCTTACCTGGTATCAAGTTTGCAGCCTCTGGTTTCATTTTGTTTCCATTTACTTGGAATAATTTTGTCTGGTATTTTATTTTTAACCTTTCATTATATTTTTCATGTTTGTGTATAGCACACACATGAAGTCTTCACTATTCTCTTTGCTGGTTTTAAAAACATATTATTAGTATTCTGGAAGCTCTGTATCTTTGTTCTGTTACATTATATTCTAATTTCTTCTTCAGATTATATTTAAGATATTATCTCTTCTATAAGCAATCATGAAATTAGCTAGTAACATCTCCCTTCCCTCACTCTTCTCCAGCATTTAACAAATTATCTTTCTATTCCCAGGTAACATCTGTAAGTAATCATCATGGTTATAAACTTTCCAAATACTCGTTTCTCCCATTTTGAGAGTGAAAACTATGTCTATACTGCAGAACATACAACAAACAGCATTTAGGGGTGGGGAACCTGCAGTGCTGGGGCCACATGTGGCATTCCAGATCCTTGAGTGTGGCCTTTAGACTGAATCCAAATTTTACAGAACAAATCCTTTAATTGATTTCGGTTTATTCCAGAGTCTGGAGTTCTCAAAAAGGTCTCATCTTAATATTTCCTGAGACCTGGTATGTTCATGACTTTATTTATAGTCTTTATACTTGAAATCAATTTGGCTGGATATAAAATCTTTGGCTCACATTTTCTATCCTTGGGTATTTTAAATATGTTGCCCCACTGACTTCTGGTGTAAAATATTGCTATTGAGAAGCCCAATCCTAATCTTTTCCTTCACTTATAAGTGACTTGGTCTTTTGTCTGGATTCCCAAAGTTCT